TTTTATTGATAAATCAATAGTGCGTACTTGTTCTTCCCTTGATTCTTCTCTCATAAGATTTATCCATGATTTCATGATTCGAGGGCCATTAGTGGCGTATCTCTCGAACTAGGATGATTTGAATTTGATTTCTTTATGATTTCAAGACTAATTTAAAAATATTCTTTCAATTTTACCCTTCACTAGTTAGTATTGAAATTAGTTATTAATTAATGTTTAGTTATTTTAATCATAAATTTGATAATAATTAATAAGGGTGAAAATGGAAAGTTATACCTAATTTATGTCTTAATCTTATTTTCTTAAAGGGTGTGAAACACCTCAATAATTCAATTAATTTAAAATGGAGGGAGTATAATCTTGTCTAAGAATTTTTTTTTTTTTTTTTTTTTTTACAATTTCTCTATTTTTATTGTAGAATAATAAATATGTCAATTAACTATTCATTTATATTCTTTAATATAAAATTTAATGATCGTTATTTTCATAACTTCCATGATTTTATTATCATAATCTCTAAATAATTTAGTCATATTCTTGACATTATTTGTTATTCATATTATAGTTCTACAAATAAAAACATTGTAAGACTTTGGACAAATGATCACATTAGCCTTTTTAATTGTTATGTTTCCAATACTTAAATTATTCATTCTTTAATTTGACTCGAAGAATAAAATGAAAGCTATTGAATAGTGATCGGCTTGTGAATATGGATGTCGACAAGAGTTCGAAATATTGTGTATTGATTTCATATTTTTTCTTTTTAATTTTAATGATTGGAATTGTAAGCAGGGTTAAAAAAAATGTTGCATTTTTTTAGTTCTCTTTATTTTTTATTTTATATAAAAAATTTATTATTGTAAATTTAATTATACTTTTTTTTGGTTCAAAAGAGTAATTTATGACTTTGTTGGAAGTCATCTAACTACTAAGTACTAACCAAATGTTTTCTCTATAAAATCAATTATATGTCTGTATAAATATATAATGACATCTTATATTTTTTATGAACCTACTATTTTTACTTAATACAAAATATTTTATTATTTAATAGACTTTAGAATATTTAATGAAATTTATGTTATGCATAAATAGAACACGAGGAGGGAATAATAAAATTTGACAAGTAGGTATATGAATGAAAAAAAGTTGATAAAAGGAAGTTATACTTGTCTATATAGTTTTGGTGGTTTTTGCCTCGAAGCGACAGGATGATCTATTTGACTGCCAAACTGTCCCTTAAATTCCAAAATTACTCCTTGTGTAATGTAAGACATTACGTCATTCCTCTTATTATCACCGTCCGTGTGAACGCTCCATTTTATGCCACGTCATCAACTATTACCCAAAAACCCGACCCACAAAATCAAAATCCCACGTGCATATAAAATCAATTAATTTAATTTGAAGATGCCAGCTAAGCTAAAATCAAACCCCGTGTTTGATAAGTGTACTCATCTTCATTTCTCAACTATATAACTTACTTATTAAGAAAAAAGCAACCATCTGAACAGCAAAGACCAAAATTTTCAAATATGCAGAGGTCAACTAAACTCACTGATGAACAAGAGTTTTCAATCATGGTTAATGCTTTAACCAATGTGATTACAGGTACTACTACCCATACTTCTCCTGTCATGGATGTCAGTGCCAGTGCCGCAATTTCATTACCTTGTACGAGCATGTCCTATTCTATTGAGCCGCCTCTGTTTCATGTACCAGCAGAACAAGAGCGTTGTCAATTCTGCAAAATAAATGGTTGTTTAGGTTGCAATTATTTTGCAACCTCATCAGCTGGTAACAACAACAAGGCTTTAAAGATTGTTGCGAAGAAGAAAAAGAAGAATTACAGAGGAGTGAGACAGAGACCATGGGGAAAATGGGCTGCGGAAATTAGAGATCCAAGAAGGGCAGCCAGAGTATGGCTTGGAACATTTACTACAGCAGAGGATGCAGCTAGAGCTTATGACAGAGCAGCTATTGAATTTAGAGGTCCAAGAGCTAAGCTTAATTTCTCATTTTCAGATTACACATCAATTCAACAACACAGTAATAATACTACTACTACACCCCTGCAAGTGCAACAACAATCACCGCCCTCGCAGTTACAACAGGGAATGAACACAGAAGAAGAACAGTTCTGGGATGAATTGATGAATTCAGACAATGAAATTCAACATTACTTTAATAGAGAATCATCTGATTCTGCTAATGCCTATATTGCTCATAGCTTCTGATCATTTCCTATTTTACGCATATTGCATCCCCATTTAGTTTTGATACTATCAAATTAAATTTGTTTTTCAATCAAGATTGTATCATAAATACTTAGGCACACAATATTACATGTGGGCCCTGAGAAACCTGAGGGAGAAATCACCTGATGGCAGCTTGCCTACCAACTTCAACGAATATATATACATACATTTTTAATTAATAAAGGAAAAGTTAAATATTGGGAGTATGTATATAATTTGATGTATTGACAAACAATGTTCGAGAAGTAACAAGCTTATCCTCTGCCATTCAGACCTTACTTTATTATACTAATTTATCAATTTCACTAGTATTTAGGATTTGGATGACTTGAATTACTTGAAATTTTTACAAGGCATAGAATTTCACATGCACTTTTTTAAAAGCCGGATAGAGTTACTCAAATATTAATAATGTAAGAATTAGTTATGAATGAATTTATGTATTTTCAAGTAACATAAGAGATATGTAAGAGTGATAAAGTTTACTCATGGAAATATGATTCATCTAATCTATTCAAAGAACTTTTTAACACTTGTAAATTCAGCACCAATGAAAATAAATGATACTTTCTTCATTTTAATTTGTCATTTGATGTTCACTTCATATGAAAAATTAATAATAAAATATATTATTTTTAAAAAAATATTAAAACAGAGAGGGTAGCTGTGAGTCAATAAAATGGATAGAGCAAAGTTAAGTCAACTCGGTATTGTTGACCCCTACGACGTGTACGGATTGATTACCAGGCTGGCTTATGTTGTGAATTGTTTTGTCTTTTCTTAGACCCACATAGTATTCAACTTTTCAACTTTAATACTCCTTTCTTTCTAATGAAGAAAATATTAAATGTCTATTTGGAAAGTTACTATGATAATTTGTTTTAGTGTAATTGAACCTAATTATAATATATAACACATTTAATTGGTTATGTAATTATTTAATTAGCAGGTAATTAATTGTACTTGATAGGGGTAGTTATATTTTCTAATTCTCATGAAAATTGTGAATTGCTCATAATTATGTGGTGTAATTATAAATTGTTTAGTTTTTCATTTCTTTTTTCTATTACTACTATATTTTTTATTTATTTTAAATTCCTTTTTATTATTCTAATATTTTTAATTTTTAATTTTTTTATATTATTTACATTTCATTTCTTTCGCATTCTCAACCTTTACTTTATGTGATTTCATGCCATTTTTTCGTATTATCTATTGTTGTAATTCTATGTTTATTTTTTTCATTAAAATATTTTTGTTAGTATTCTAATTTTTTAATTAAGATAGAAGTCATTGTTTATTTTCTTTTCTTTGAAATCATATTTATGTATGTTATATTGATATTTGAAATAAGAATATTATATTAAATTTTTTGTTTTGAATTTAGGACTTATGTTATATTTTCAATTTCATTTATTTTAATAGTATTGACTTGAAATTTCACATTACAAGTCATTTATTTTTTAATTAGACGGGACAGATTATATTATATGTCCAAAGTAATTCTCCAAAAAAGGGCTTGAAATGTATATATATCCTACTACCAATATACTGTTAATTATTTAGCCTGTTCTTTAGAGTTGGGTAAAAAACAATAAATATGGTAGCACATATGTTCATACTTGTTCGGTTCTAATCATTCTTTGTGACAGAGGAATATCTTTTAGTTAAAATTTAGGCTTAAGTCATACACGGCCTCTTAAAATTATCCGCATAATTCACTTAGATACTTTATCTTGCGCTTGTTCCAATTGAACACCTTCATTAGTTAAAAAGAAAAATACATATTGAACACTGCGTGACAATCAACTAAAAATAGAGAGTGTGTGTCATACACTTGCGAATGATGTGACATAGTAACAAATAAGACAAAGACATGTGGCATTTCGTCCATAATAATAAGTAAAAAATAATAGAAAAACTATGTTTTTAACAAAAAGAAAAACTTTTTTCCCCTCATTTCTTCTTTGCCAGAACACCCCACCCAACCCACCCATCCACCCTGCGTCCATCCTTCTGCTTTCTTTACCGGAACACGCACAGAGCCGCTGCGACTAAAATTAACGATAATCATCTTCGTTCCACCTTTTTTTGTCTCAACGTATTCTTTTTACCACTCATATCAATTCAGATTCTCATATTTTTCTTCTTCTTCTTCTATGTTGTGAGTTCTTTAGGATTTGAATTTTTTAACAATTTGAAAGAAAATAATTTCAGATTCGTATTAGTCTTGCAGGAAAAAATGAAATTTCGCCGAAATTATTTTTGACGCATTTCATTTTAGTTTTTGATAATATTAGTAAGTGTGGAATGCCGCTAGTAAAAATAATAATCAAGGAGTGTATGGTAAAGGGGTGTGGCGGGATCATGGCAAAAATATTTGGCCGGAATTTTTTAAAAATAATATGACATTGAAAAGTTTAATTGGGGATGACACAACCAATAATTTAACTAGCAAATTAAGTTTAGCAGATTCAGTTTTTCGTTTTAACCAAAAACGAAAAATAAAATAGAACTAAAATGAAGTGCAAGAGATTTTTGAGATGGAGTGAAGAAGATGACAGGTAAAGGGGTGTGGGGTGGGGTTGTTTCTTTTTCTTGATTAAGAGCTTCTTCTTTTTTATAGTTATTTAGTTAATGTATGCAAGCGTGAAAAAAGTAATAAATTATCTTTAAAAAAATTAAAAAATGAAATAGGAATCTATTCACGCGCTCAATAGAGTGAGGTACACTTATTTTGCCACGTAAGCACTTTGTGTTTAATAGGTATATGTTTTGAACAATTTAAGTGTTCAATAGGTACAAGTCCTAGTTGAGGTGTCTAAGTGAATTATGCGGACAACTTTAAGAGGATGTCTATGACTTAAGCCTAAAATTTAAGACTAGGCACCGAATCAAAATGGGACCATCGAATCGACAAGAATCGGTGTCGGATGGGATCGAGATAGTTTGACTGGGTTATTGATCGGTATCAGGATAAACCGGATCGGAATTATCGGGATGAAAATTTGGTTCCATCCCATCTCACTATATACCAGAATAGAACTGGAATGGATCGATCAGAACGAACATGAACGGTATCAGTACAATCCGATCCGATTCCCAGTTGGACATTAAATTAAATTTCTTTTTAAAGATCATACGACCATATTATTTGATGTATTTTCGATTTAATTTAAAGTATCCTTGGATGAAACATGGATTCGAAGAGCAAGTAAAAGAGTATATAAATACTCCTATTATCTTTCCTTTTTCCATTTTTTGATAACTTGATATGTTTAAAATTTTGAAATTAAAATATTGTTTTATATAAATTTTTTAAACTTCAAATTAACTCAAAACTCAATATATAATTGGACCCACCGCTATGTCTATCGAAATTCCTTAATATAAAAGCACATAAATCCATCAGCTACAAACCATAACGCCGCACATGAAAATTAAATATGTGGGCGCCATACAAAACAACATACTTGTTATCCTTATCCTGTTTATTGCAACATTCTCAAGCATATAAATAAACAGAGATTTGTATACTTCAAATCACAACAACTATATTCTCAAGCATATACAAAAAAAAAAAGTTGATAGATATTTGAAAAATAAGATGAATGTCTGGACTAGTAGATATGTGGACTAATGAGGTTCGAAACAAGAAAGGTAAGGATGAAGCTCAAGTACCAATTGAAACAAGAAAAGGAAGCAGTGAATTGGTTCGTCAAAATTATGAAAAATGTGTCTCCTTATTGGGTAAATTCAATAAGTTACTCTGAAGCTTCCGTCTCAATGATTGTCGATTGTGTTAGCCCATGAACAACACATTTCTCTCTAATAGTGCTTCCTTTACTCACAATGATGTTGTAATAGGTTCCCAATAACTTTGTGTACAAATACTTGCACTTAAATTCAAATTCTACAATAATGCAGTTTCTTTCGAAAATCCTACTTGTTTAGTTTTCTGCATAAGAAATACCCCTCCCCTCTCTTTGTTTTTACTTGCTTCACTTCAAAAAAATTTACATGTTAAATGATATGAGTATTTTTTAGTATAAAATCTTGAAAAAATAATTTGAAGAATGAAGAATAAGTAGTTGACATCAAGAGTAAAAACTGAAAAAAATATTGTTTTTTCTTGTTATATTAAAAAATAACAATAAAAAAAATCATTTGAAAAATAATACACAAATCAAAATAAACAAAAGAACTACATATGTCATGAATTATTGAAAATTTATTTTATAGTTTAAAATAAATAATTTTAAAAATTTAAGAAAATTATTGGATTTTTTGATATATTTATTCTTTTTTTAAAAAAAAAGATTTTTGACTACTTTACAATTTTTAGGAGAATAATTTGGGTATAATCAAAAGGAAAATAATAAATTTTTTTTTTGAGAATAATCAAAAGGACAATAATGAAAAATAATTTGGGAATAATCAAAAGGACAATAATGAATTTTTTTTTGGGAATAATCAAAATGACAATAGTGAAAAACAATTTGGGAATAATCAAAAGGACGGAAAGTAAAGGTCTACACCGGTAGAATTGGTTTGGTTTGTTTTTTTTTTTGCATTAAAAAATAACTTAAAATAATTATGTCGATTTATTAAAATTATAAATCAATATAAAGTTAAATTTTTTGGTTTTATTTTGATTGGTTCTTTCAAGTTAAAGAGATCACATATATTTTATTTATCTTTGTGACAGGCTAAAACTTGAAAACATTAATTGAATATGAATCTTCAAAAAGACTATAAAATTCATATAAGTACAAAAATCATTGAAATATCAACGTTCAATCTATATATATAATAAAGCTAGATGTAGGCACGGTAATGTAACACCTTTCTATGACCACCATTCACATTTATCTTTTTTCTCCCTTTTTTGGCTTATTCTCAAATTTTGAAATAAAAAATTCTAATCATATCTTATTTATTGAGTTTAATAATGGACTAATGAAAAGAGACTAATGGCTAAATTAGAG